CTCGCTCAGCTCTGAAAAGGCGAAACGAAGGTTAAACTGAGGGAATGAACATAAAAGTAAGCAATAAGAAAATAAATAATACAAGTCCTCGGCCCCAGCCGAAGGTACTTACCGCCTCTGTGCTTTCGGCTGAGGCCGACAACCGCCAACATCTTCTCTTGGAAGACGTAATGGTTACCCGGAAGCCATCTCGTTGGGATGAACTTCATTCGGCCGGTTCCCCTAGGATTTTCCTGCTTCCCGAAGAAACTCATCTGTTCGTAGCTGGGATGACGAGCGGCGTCAGGGTCTTCAGGACCCAAATCCTGCATGTTCGGACCGGGCCTAGAGAGATAACGGGGAGCCCCGAAAAAATGGGGGTGCTCCGGATCGGCGGGAAACCTTACCCAGATCCACTGGCCTCTCCAATCCTTATCCGAAGAATCGTTCGGCCACATAGTCAAATATTGTGGATGACTCTCAATTCGCCACCAGCTAGGCCCGTGATGACCATATATGCTCTGGGTGTTCTGCACCAGCTTGTGCATCTTTCGGAAACAGTGTCAGTTTGGTTCAACGGAAAAAAACCGACATACCCAGAGATAGGTCATCACCCGCCGAATGCTGACAGGCGTTAATTGGCACAAGGAAATCCTATACTTAATCAGAATATCCCTGACAAAGGAATCTAGAGGGAACCGAAGCCCGTACTGCAGCTGCCGAGTGTACACCCCCACATACCCAGGGGGTGGACGATAAATTCTGTCGGTTGGTACGAGCATTTGGCACCAGTGCCCATCTTCCTCAAAAATGCCGTAGTGCAATTCTATCTGTTCGGCAAACCGATAGGCTTTGGCATGCCGAACCCACCAGGAGTAAGGGGCATTTTTTTATCATAGCTCGCTGGGCTTCGGCATTTCGCCACTCAGCATGCCCAGGGAGCAAGTTCTAGAGCACAGCGGGCAAATCCTCTACCTGCTCTGCGTCATCAGCCCCGATGTCTTGCTGGGGTGTCGTGGCGTTCAGAGGAACGGCCGGAATACCCCTTTCCGGGTCTTCCTCGACTCATTCTCCATTCAAGACATCGGCGCGGTCCCTGGGGTCCCTAGCCTGACCCTGCCGTCCAGGTTGACGCCCTCTTCCTCGAGCCATAGTTTAATTCGAAGGGAAGAAGTTGGGAAAAGGGGAATTCTTTCAAAAATTTAAGAAAATCAAGGGAAATTCGAAGAAATTTACCTTTAAATAGGTCGAAATGTGCCGATTAAGTCAGTCGGAGCAACAGATTCAAGTGCCAACCTTTGGTTCTGGGGTATTGAGCGAAGTTTTCAAAGCGAAATATGGCGTTTCTGTGGAAATTCGAGTGTGAATCGGTGAAGAAATGAGGAGAGAAAGAACAAATCCGGCCTTATATTTCCAGAAAGAGGAATTTTGAAGGTCGAAATGTTTAATCCCTCTTAAATGCCTCCTTAAGTAACCGTTAAACACACTTCTTTCCAGTTAACTGCCCATTATCCGTTCAACTTCCCACTAATTATCCTAATTACAGTTATTTCGTTAATGACTGTTTAAAATTTAAATCTTTTGATTTAATTAAATCATTTACTTCCCTCCATTTTTATTAAACTCAAACCCGACCCGTCATCCTTCCAAATCGAGTCTGGGGGGAAAGTTGTTTGGGTTCAATTATGCTAATTGGGCCTAGTCATTAATTGATTCAATATGCCAAGGTCAAGGCCCAATCCTCCATCTTGCCAAGTCAACATAAAGTCAAGTGGGCCAAATGGTCATGGTCAGCCCATGACTAAGTATAGCCCATTCATTCTCCTTGCCAAGATAAGGTATAAAAGCCTACAATTACATCATTTATCATTAATTCACATTAAAGCCTCAAGCATTAACTCTCTTTCATAGCTTTCTCTCTCTAAACACTGTTTGACTTCGGCATCGGAGGGGTCTTCCTCGGATCCACTCCCGAGGCCAGCTTTACGTGTGTTTGCTGTGCAGGAAACCTTCAGCCCAGCATCATTTGGACCGGACTAGTCTTTATCCACTTCATTGGACCTTCGGCAAGGTCCCATTGTTTTCACCCGAACCATCATGTATGATAAGTTAACGACTATTCTTCAAATAAACTTCTTAATAAAATCAACTATTTTCACATTTTTATCACAGCTATTTATTTATTTTTATTTAAGCAACTACTTGTTAGTAAATACTTTAATATTATAAGGGCCATGTTGCTTCATATAAGCACTATTGCATGTCTTTTAATGTGGTATAAGTTTAAGTATTCATAACAAAAACATTTGGAGTTTAAGTATTCTTAATGAAAATTTTCGAGTTTATTATTTTTTTAATTGTCAATCGAAATTATAACCAGGCTTTATTTTTCCTATATAGTATTATGAATTAAAATGTTAAATCTATTACTCTATACTAAATTAGAGTGTTTTTTAAGGGAATTATCTCTCCTAAACTCTACAAATTATTATTATTATTATTATTATTATTATTATTATTATTATTATTATTATTATTATTATATTAGAAGCGTTAATTTTCCTAGAAAATACATTATATTTTTTTATTATTATAATTTTTTGGAGACTATTATTATAATTGACTACTGTGTCACATCTCTCTAGAGACTTCTATATTTAATTATCAATTAATTTTAAAAATCGAGCATGGCTCAGGAATGAATTCTCTAGTTATTTATTGAAACAAAAAAAAATTAATATAAGATAACTTTCAATTTTTTTTAAAAAAAAAAGAAAATTAAGAAGAGAAAACTGCCTTTCAAGTCCATCCTACCCCCATAAAAGACCTTTTAAAACTTAAAATAAATACTTCATCTATTTTTATTTTCAGGTGCATCACTTTTTCATAAATAAAAATTTTAATTTAGATGCATTACTTTTCTTTTTAACTAATATATTAAATTTTCTTTATCTCTCTCATATCACACAACCCCCCCCCCCCACGAGGGATCGGAGTAACAATATTGTTAATGGCCACAAAAAATATACAAAAGGACCCTTCATAATTACGGCGGCTGCTGAATAACCCTAATTATTTGCTGATTAGTAGAGTTGGTTTTGTACCAAAATGATAGTCAGAGCTATTACAAATGAAAGTGTTGAAGCATAATGGTTTTGATGTTGAGGAACTTGAACTAAAAGCAAACTCAACTAATAAAGATTCTCTAGTGTGTGATTAGTCAAGGTGCATAATAATCTTGGTGATTGAAGAACCATCTGAATCTAAGAAGACATGAAGAAGATCTTTATTGAAGAAGTTAAACAAATCAGAGGAAGAGTTCTCTAACAAGAACTAAGTTCCCTAACAGGAACTTGAAGACTAGCAGTTAAGTTCTTTGGTGGAACTTGATATGCTTGGAGCCCAAGTAATTCATCTAATCAGAGTGCGGCGCAACAATAATAGTTAAGGTTTTATTTTTAGAAATTATTGTTAATATGGTAAGTAAGTTAGTGCACGAAATTTAATAGAAACGTGATAAGTTTGCTTGGTAAATAAAATAAATATGGAAAATAATAAAAGATAGATTTTAGGAAAAGATTTTCTAAAAAGATTATTTTTCTCTAAACTCGGTTTATTAAGAAAGATAAGTCTTCTTAATAAATATCTTTTATACTTATTTTCGGAAAAGATTTTATTCCACTTGATTTGCTAAACCGTGTTTAAAAGATAAGTCAAGTTAACATATTTATCTTTTTAGAAAACCTACCTTCTATACAAGTGTTACTTGTATAAATAGTAGAGAGCAAAATGTTTTAGGTTTTTGTGAGTTTATGCGTGGAGAAATCACAGTGCTTTAACTGAGTAAGTTTACCAAGCTTTTAACTTATCATATTAGTTTCGGATTTCGTGCAATGCTTACCTATCATAATAGGCGTCTTATATTTGTATTGGTTGGGTTATTTGGGTGATATTTATAGTTTGTGTTACATACAGTTTTGTGTAAGCTTCTTGGTGAGGCTGTGGGTTTTGTACTAGGGTGGTACGAGTGTTGTGTACTTTGGGAGTACGTGTAGTATTTTGGTGGTATGAGTGATTCTAAGTGTGGTGCTTAGATTGGGTAGGATAGGGTCCTATCAAGTAGCAAGTCCGATCCAGTGAGGAACTTGTAGTGAGGAACTTGTGAAATAAAGGTCTGTGTCTAATAGGTTGTAACTTGGTGTTTGCCCTATTATAGTGAAGTGTTTTGTGTTTGAAATCCCTAAGGTAGGGTCGAGGTTTTACTTCCAGTTGGGCGCTGGAAGGTTTCCTCGTAAAATCTGTGTGTTTGCTTAAGTTCCTTTATGCATTGTTTATTTATCCACAAAAAGTAGTCATTAGGAACTCTATACAATTCACCCCCCTCTTGTATTATTCGTCTCAACTAACAGAAAGTTTAGCCGTATTAGGCTGCACAATGATTACAAAATGTTCTAGAATGGAAGCTTCATATCGAAGGGAGCTAGTAGTTCGAGGTAGAATCGGGGACTGGCCCCTGCAAGCCAAGGCTATGATTTACTCATTCCTTTGATCATTAATATCTTTAATTATATTGTGTATTTACATAACTTATTAAAAGTCGATGATATATAACTACACTTTGAGACGAATCTAACAATTTTATCTTATGATACTATATTTTATATATAAATCATTGAGAATTATAAAGATATTAATGGTCGAAATAACTTATGGCTAGTTATATGGTTGTATCTAAAAAAGAGAATACTAATTAATATACTATAGTAACTTAGTAAGAGTGAGTTATGTAAATAGTTCAAGTGATCGAAATTAGTGTAGTCGCATCCATTACTAAAAGACGTGGCTGCAACTAAAATATGTTGTCCACCAAATTAGCATTAATAACAAGCTGGACACGTTACTATCAATAAGTCACGATCAGCTTATATCTAATGAATAATTGACTAATATAATTATCCAACCCTAATAATTAACATCTATCTCTATCACTAGAGCAAATTTGGAAATCTATAAATACTAGTATCCGATGCTAATGAACATAAACTCAGCAACCTTTCTAATTTAGTAAAAAATGACGAGGTTTACCACCAATTCCGTTGTCATAGCCGCCATTTTCTTCGCAATAGTTTTGGCTTTTACAAGATCAGGTTGGTTCAATTCTTCTATTTGATTTAATTTCATGTCAAATTGATTGTTTTCCATATTTTTTTTATTAATTTTTTTTTAAAAAATACATGTTTATTTGATAAACAAAAAATGCTTATCTAGTTGCATTTTTGTAAATAAATTAATAACTTTTATTAAATATGAGTCTCATAAATGTTGAACGAAAATGACATGATGACTGAGATCTTATGTTTATTTATTTACAGAAATGTCACTAAATAAATAATTTTTGTTTACCACGAAGATTAACTGCGCTCCCTCAACTCAATTTTTTTTTATAATAATTAATTATATTAAATGTTGTTTAATAATTTGTGTTTATTCATGTGCTATGTACTTCCAGCTGATGGTTCATATGATGGCGAGCAGCAAGCAGCTTATTACTCGCCGACAAAGTCACCACCACCACCACCACCACCACCATCTAACCCTACATGTAGGAAGTTGCTTGAACTCTGTACAAGTTACGGTGCTTACAGTTGTTGCGGAGGGTTTGTTTGCGGAGGTAGGTTTGAAAACCTTCCTGTAGGAGTTGGAGTGTGTACGCCTTCGAATCAACCACCACAGCTACCAGCACAAGAGTGTCAAATTGCGCATCAACTTTGTCAGCCTTATGGTGATTATAGCTGTTGTAAAGGATTAACCTGTGTTCATCCTCGAACACTACCTCCAGTCGCGGGCATTGAACCCGAACAACTGATGCTTCCTCCTGGTGTTGGGATATGCGAGCCGATTAAACTTTAATCTAAGATCACAGCTAGCCATATGAAATGAGATCAATGGCCTTCTTCTTTATGTTATATTTAATTTCTATTATTGTAATTTGTTTACACTATTGTATTTTGAAAAATTTGTAGTGTTATTTTGAAGTTGTATGTATCTTTATTTGAGATTTATTTACTCTATTAATTGAATGTCTATTGTCATTTATAGGATGATTAATTTCATTTTTTGTCAGTGAATATCAACTTAAAATGTGCGGCGGCTGAATAACATCCATGCATACGTATATTGGACCAAGTTAGGTGATCAATATCCAAACAAGGTCAAAGACATGAGATAAGAACATTTTAATAATGGTGGGTTATATAAACAGCCAAATGAGGAAATTATGTCATTAATTATCCTGAAATTGGGAGTGTATATACTTCCTCTGTTTCTATTTAATTGATGTGTTCAATTTAGGCACATATATTAAGGAAATGAGAGCAAGTGAAAGAAAATGATAAAGCAAGTGGGGTAGCTAGTAAATACAGCTCATAATTACGGCCTTTATTGGTATTTGATGAATTGATGGTATAGAATGATGAAGTCGATCTTGGTTCAATAGTTGATGTATTAATAAATTAAATTGATTCAAAGTATGTTAGCATGTAGGAAACAATTTATATTTCATATATGAAGAAAAATATATCCAATAACAGATTGCAAGAACAATAATAATGTTGGTAGTGTGTAATATAAATAATTGTAGCAAGCTGTAATGTACATGTGTATTTTAGTACTAATATTCTCACCACAAACTTGCATGACTGCACGCAAGCGATACCTAAAATAATTGAATTCGTTATATCTTTATAAATAAAATTAATAGCTTTCGATCTTGAAATCGAGCTGTATATATTACATTAAGAACAAGTTAGAACAATGTTATCAAGTGGAATTTCCAAATTTCATTTTCAAAATGGCAAGGAATTCAATCAACTTCTTCGTTGTGACCACCGTGTTAGTAGTTTTGGCACCTGCAAAATTAGGTATATTTGTTCATCCTTTTGTATGAAGCACTTTTTTTTTTTTTTTTTTTTTTTTTTTTTTTTTTTTTTTTTTTTGTCTGTTTAACTTTCTTTTAGATCATTAGATAGGTGTACGTGAGGATATAGGAATGGAGGGATGGTTAATCCCTCCATCTTCCACCCCATATATTACCGTAAAATAAAATAAAATAAAATATGTACGTATATGTAGAGCACAAATTATTATATGTTGTGCCCATCCATCATAGGGGTTACTTCGTTATTGTTATTGGAGTTACTCGATTAGTATTATAGGGGTTTCTCGGTCAGTATGATAGGGTTACTCGGTTAGTGTGATAGGGCAGGGGTTACTCAGTCATTGCATATTTTAGGAGTTAATTTATTCTTTTACATCTAGGCGACTACATGTTGTGACCAGGCGGATACAAAACGCAATATTTTATAAAGCTTATTTTTTGTCAAAACAACTTTATAATTTTTTTGGCAAGCTTTGACCTTAAAGAAATTTTTTTCTTCAAAAAAGACCTAAAGCTAGCTCTTTATGCACCTGATACAAAAGTGTTGAAATAATATTCTTTTAATACACAGTACTTCTTCCGTTTTTTACTTTTTATTAGTTAACACCGTTTGACTTTTACCCTATTCACACAACACGCTTTGATTTGCTTTTGTGGTTTATAGATACAATAAAACATATTCATGTGGGATCTTATTTAAATTGTTTCAATGTATATTTTATTAATATCCACTTTTTATAATTTCACAATGCTGATTAGAGATATTAGTCGTTAAAAACATGCGTTGAAAATGCAAGTGTGATAATAGAAATGTGTCAACAAAAAAAAAAAAAAACAGAGGAAGTATTATTTTTTGAAATTTTTTCTGTGGAGGCGGATGCAATAAGCATGGTGCATCCGATTTTCTTTAAAAAACAGGCGAAATGAACATTTAGTTGTTCAGTAAAGAACATATAGTTGTTTTATAAAGAACATATTGCTATTTTATAAAGAACATCTAGTTTTATATGTTTTTTTTGTAAATCTAAAGAACATTTGTAATATTAGTAAAGAACATGATAATATTAAAGAACATTATTCATATAGTAAATGTACATTTGGTATAAATGACTATGTATGCATATAAAAAAGTACATTTTATTGTATTATAATGTACATTGTATTATATTCTAATGAACATATATGTTATAATGTTGGTTACATGTTTAATGTACATTGTATTATTTGCATCATGTAAGTATATGAAAAAAACATTTTACTGTATTTTAATGTACATTGTATTATTTGAATCTACAACTTTTTCTAAAATTGTCTATTTGCTTGCTTTCTTCTTCAAAAATGGTATAGTCGGACGATCTTCTTCAAGAACTTCATTTTATTTCTCATTGTAACAACAAAATAACATCAAAATCGCAATTAATTCCCAATAAAATCAAATACTACAATTTTCAATCAAATTTATAAAAAACAAACACTCAAACTCAAAATAAACAAGTATGAATGTCAAATAAACAAGTATGAATGTCGAATTTGGTCTTACCTTTCATTTTTATTTGTCATCTTGAACAATTTTGGACTCAAATTTCGTGAAATTTTGTTTGAGGTTTGAGGAATTTAAATGGGTTTGAAGTTTTGTTTGGAGAGAGAAAGTGAACTTTTGGTAAAAAAAAAATTGAAATGATTGTAATTAATGTATGGTAAAAAAAATAATTATAGTACTGTTTATCTATTTCATTATACAAAAATAATAATTATATCATTATACAAAAATAATATACAAAATTGTTGCACAAAAATATGATGTACATTATAAATGAACACTATGTTCTTTTATATATATGTCCATGTACATTATAAATGAACACTATGTTCTTTTATATGCCCATGTACATTAGTATATACATGCATGTTCATTCCGCCTTTTTGTACTTTGGAGCGGATGCACCATGCGGATTGTGCATCCGCCTCCACGAACCAAGCTTTACCCAGGTGTACCATGCACCTGAATTTTGAATTTCAAATTTTAAATGATGCTCTTTATATGACTATATAATGTTCTTTATAAAAAAAAAGAATTTCTATTCTCTAAAATTATTTGACCTAAAAATAACTTAAGATTTTGTTTTTAAATTTCAAAATTTAATTAAATTTATAAATTTGGTTTTCAAAAATTTTAGTTTTCAATTTTTTTTTTATTTCGTTCATATTTTTCACCTTTAATATATATTTTTACAATATTCGTTTTAGGGTTGGTATATATGAATTTTTTGTGATGTTCTTTATGTGATTTAATAATGTTCTCTATTAGAAAACATGATGTACTTTATAGTTGTTTGTAATGTACAATTATTTTTTAAAACTATACCTTTTTCCTTATCACCATAATTATATCATATAATGATTTTTATTAGATTTTTTGATAGTTTATTTTAATTGTCCATGTTTTTTTATTGTAATTGCAATGTACTTTTATCGTCACATAATGTTCATTGCTTATTGTGAAATGTTCTTTGAATTTTGTATTTGGATCGTGGTAGGTATATATATAAGTTATGTTCATTTCATAATATTATCATGTTCTTTAATAATATTACAGATGTTCTTTAGAACTGAAAAAACTGAAAAACAATTATCAATAGAGGGGATCTCAAAAGAATATCGTCATCAACCTTCACGATCTTGATTTAAAAAACAATATACGTAGTTAGTGATAATTCAATGAACATACAGAATAAATCAAATAACATCGAAGCAAAGAACATAAAGGATAAAAATAAAGAACATTCATATAATTGTTCAATAACTATAATAACGAACACAAGTAATTTATAAAGAACACCATCTTCAACATTTGACAAAATATAAAAAACATCATCTTCAACCTTTGACAAAATAAAAGAACCTATCTTCAACCTTTGTCATATGGATCTCAAATTCATAAATATCAAAATTGAAAAAAAAACAACGATATTTTACAATAATTGTGCAAAATAATAACGAAATAAAATCAACCTAATAAGTAAAATCCTGAAATTAAAATCATAACAAATAAAATCAAATTACCTTAGCTTCTCCGATCCATCTATTACAATGTTCTCATAATTTGCTCTGTATTTTTCTCTCTACAAAATTTTTTATAAACTTTATTCTCTCTTAATTCGAAACTGAAATATGGTGAAATTTAATTTTAAAAGTTATGTAAAAATGGAGAATATCACGTTGAATCCCATGAATTGTGGAAGATATTGATTTTTTTTTTAAATAACTAACTGACAGCTTGCAAATAAAATGTTAAAAACACATCATTTAACACTAGGTGTACCATGAGCATGGTACACCCTAGTGTACTATACAATTTTCACACTTTATAAGATATTGGAGTTACTCCTACTATTGTCAATTGGTTAGTGAAAACTCCAAAACCTAGTTTGTGGACCAAATTCTCCTCCTTCTTGTTCGGGTTGCCCAAGCCCATTTCATATTGTTTCGAAATTTAACAGTATTACCTTTCATCTTATATTATTACTTCATAATAATAATTTCAAGTTTGATTCATTGATCACTTTCTAGTTGAGGAAACGAACTTAGACATGGATCCCCTATCCTCGGGGTTTTAGGGACTCGTTCGATTGAAACAAGAAGTTGGGGCTAATGAGAATCAAACACTGGCCTACCATTCCAAAATCATCCTCTTTAAATTTAAGCATCCTTTTTTAGCCAGTAATTTGTTTTAGCTAGCTACTTTCTAGTTTTGTAATTTGATCTTTATGTAATTGATAATTCATATGTAAGGAGTACTTGTTCTTCCTGTTGATTTATGTCGAGTACTTTCTCTATCTCAATTTAACTGCAATAATGTGAAAATAGTTAAGATTAAGATATGGTAAAGATAGAATTCCTAACGCAATAAAATAATTAAATTCATAAAAGCTAATAATAACTCCCTCCATCTCAGTTGGTGGAATTTTTTCACTATTTATGTATTAGCTTTGACCATAATTTATTTATAACAAAATAATAAAATACGTTGTTAGATAAATATTATATAAAGTTCTATAATATAATTTTTATGATAATTTTTATTAAAATTTTATCACTTGTATATAATAATAAAGTCAAACTAGTACATCGCCATATGTGTAAAGTTGACTGTGTCAGTATTTAGGGCTAAACCATGAAAATGCAAGACATTTGGTATTAGACTAATGAAGAAAGTACTATTGAGGCAAGATATTGCCAGCAAGCAATGGACACTCTTATTGCTTGGAGTCTGGAGCGCCTTCGCGGTAAGCACCCCACGGTTACTATGTTTACTTGGCTACTAGTAAAAACTCGCTAAAGTACGAGTGATGTGGATGATAATTGCAGATTAAAAAAGCAGATTAAAAAAAAAAAAAAAGGTGTAAATAACAAAGTGAATCAAACAAGTGATAACATTCATTCAACTTAAAGAAGCGCCCAATTGTATATATATGCAAAGATAAGTTCAGCAAGATAATTGACATGATTATAAATTAATTGAAATAAGAAAAGGTAGTAATAATTGAAACTTATATATGAGTATGTGTATGTTAAGACATATTCTTCCCAAACAACACATGTAAGGTGAACGAAAACGACAAACTCCTTTCTTCTGCCTGCTCGTAAATTTAGTCTAGTCTAGGATTAGCTCTTCTTGAATATGGCTAGTTATATTCATCCTAGTTCCTTTGTCTATCCCCACTATTTAGGAGAGTACTTTAATCCTACTTCCGAGCTTCATGATGAGGTGCCTGTTAAGTGGGACAATTGTGTAATAGGCAGAATTTGGGATGAACGTGAATTCTCAGTGCATTTAATTCAGCGTTTGGTGTCAACATTTGTTGCGGAGCTACTGAAGATGCGGATGATTTAGCTACGTGTAAGAAATCTCTTGATAAAATAAGGCGTCCTTTAGAGTATCGATTTCGTCAAATTCATGAGGACGGTGGTTGGGTTGTGTTTGGTCCCATGGATTTAGATTTATACTCCTCTGTTCTTAAGGGAATTTGTCCCTCCCCGGACTCTTGGACGACAAATTTGCTGTTTGGCTTCCATATTGATGAAGATCCCTCTACATGTCCGATGGATTCTCACCCATCAGACTATGACTTTTTAGGGAATGGTGTATCTGATGAATTTCGACCAACCGATAATGAAGTGTTAAAGTTAGATTTAGGTGCTAATTGTGCAAATGAGACTATAACACATGAAGCTACACGTGCTGGCCATGCATCTAATTATGATAATATATGGCTTTTCATGGAAGGTTGGCCCACTTCCAATACTTCAGCACACCATCAAGATAAACATGGGGGTGGAGGAGCACTACAAAGTCTATCAATTTCTAGCTGGAGGGGCGGTGATCCTTATTCCCTCATGTGGTGGGCGGTCATTAATTCTACTTTTTCCTTTTCTGATTTTATTTCTTATCCACCATCTTCTCCTGGGCCCAATTTAATGGATCATACCTCTTCTTATTCTCAACAAGGGTCGGATATCTCCAGAGTGTCTATGCATCAATTGGATCCTTCTATGTGTGACTTGGGCTTAGATACTGGATCTAATTTAATGAATCAAATGGGCCAACCATGTGATGCTCATTCCTCTTCTATTGTTACTCCGGAATTGACAAAGAGTCAAGAAGATGATTTTCTAAAGGTTTTCCCTGATCAGATTGAAGAGGTTGTTCCTATGGACTGTACACTGTCTCAATCACCATCAAACCTTGATATTCTGGTGAATGATAATCAAAATCGAGATGAGAAGTCTCCTATTGCCACCATGAGACTAAGGGGTCGGAGCAAGTCTGCTTATTTTATTCAGAGGGGCCGGGAACAATTGCGGAAATGGGTTCCCAACTATTGCCCTGCAAAGCGTTCGGGTGGTGCACTGGAACCATCAGCACCCCTAGTCTCGATGTTGCAACATGGCTCAGGTTGTTTTCCCTGTTTGTTACCTTGCAAGAAGCGCAAGGGCAGTTTAGATTTGGTTTCTACAACTTCTTCTTCAGCGGGCTCGGTGACCTCCCGTAATGGGTCACCCAAATTGAGATGAAAGTTGCTGCCTGGAACTGTAGGGGTCTTGGACAAGCGGACTCCCCTAAATTTCCGTATCTAAGCTCTTTAGTCCGCTCCCATCACTTGGATGTGGTGTTTTTGATGTAAACAATGGTTTCTGTGGATAATGTTGTGCTCAGTTTAGCATCTATTCCTTTTTTGGGTTGTTGTGGTGTAGATGCTGTAGGATTAAGTGGTGGTTTGTTCATTTTTTGGCTTGCTCCTTTTAGTGTAGTTCTAGTGTTTATATCTCCAAACTTTGTAGTTTGTAAAATAGAGGTTGGTGATGTGATAAAATTTGTGATCTTTGTGTACGGGGCACCTCATGTAGCAGATAGATCAGATGTGTGGTCGTCTATTGCTAGATTTGTCCAAACTTACCCGAACATTTTGTTGATTGGTGATTTTAACCAAGTCGGGTATCTATCGGATAAAATAGGAGGGTCTTCACTTATTCCAGGACGTTTGGATTTTATTCAATAGCGGTTGAATTTGGGGTTAGTGACTGTTCCTTTTTCTGGACCTTCTTATACTTGGACAAACAATAGAATAGAGGTGGACCCGACTTTTGAAAGATTAGATAAGGCATATGCAACTCAGGATTGGTTTATTGATTATCCGGACTCCATTGTTCATCATCAACCGATTCTATTTTCGGATCACACAACTATTATCTTTTCAGACTCGTTACCTCAAGATTCTGTTCGGCGACCTTATAGAATCGAAAACTGGTGCTTATCTGCTCAGGATACTTCTAGGATTATTAAGGACGGCTGTCGTTTAGAATTTACAGGATCTCCGTGTTTTACCTTATCTCGCAGGCTTGTTGTTATTCGCAGGCGACTTAAAGACTGGTGCCTTAGCCACAAGAAATCTTGGGGTATAAACTGGAAAGCTTTATGTTCTGATTTGTCTTCTTCTTCTACTCAATTACAATCCCCAGTGGCGCGAGTTATTTTTCTAAATACTAGGGAAGAGAAGATAGCCGAAGCAACTGATGCTTTTCTCTATTGGAAACAACGTGCTAAAACTAAATAGGATGCTGGAGGGGAGTCACACTCCAAATTACTGTTTTCGGTGGTCCAAGCTCGTCGTCGTCGTAATCTGATTGTCAGTTTGAAGAATGATGCTGGTATTTGGGTTTCGGATTCTCTTGGGCTTCGCTCTCTTATTCAGGCCTTTTACTCTGATCTATATTCTCATGTATCTCCATTTGGGAGTGACCCTCCTTTTTCTTGGGATCACCTTGGCCTCCCGACGCTATCCTCGTCTCAAAAGGACATGTTAATGGCCCCGTTCTCGCCTTCTGAGATTAAAGCTGCAATGTTTCATATTTCTAACGACAAATCTCCTGGGCCTGATGGCTTTACTTCGGCTTTTTTCAATACTCATTGGGATCATACTGGGCATTTGGTTATCTCGGCAGTTCAATACTTTTTTGCTCATGGTTATATGCTGAAGGACTGGAATAGAACCTTCTTAGTCCTTCTGCCGAAGGTTTCTCAGCCGGAGTTAGTGTCTCAGTTTCGGCTGATTGGTTTATGTAATGTCATGTAAAAATGTATAGCAAAATGCATTACTGGCCGTCTGCGAGGGGTTCTTCCATCTCTTATTTCAGGGTTCCAGAATGCCTTTGTGCCGGGTCGCCTAATTTCTGATAATGCTTTGGTAGCTCACGAGCTTCTATCCTTTATGAATGCTTCTAAAGCTCGGAAACGTTTTTATGCGGCTCTAAAGTTGGATATGAATAAAGCTTATGATAGAGTGCGCTGGGATTTTTTAAGTCAGGTTTTACGGGCCTTTGGTTTTCCGCCTTATTCGGTTCATATTATTGAGCAGTGTGTTACAACTGTCTCGTACCAGGTTCTTGTGAATGGGAGTCTTACACCGTCCTTTCGACCACAATGTTGTCTTAGACAAGGTGATCCTCTGTCACCATATCTATTTGTTTTGTGTATGGAGGTGTTGTCGACCTCTCTTAGGCGGGCGGAAGAACAGGCTTTGTTTTCTGGTATTCGTGTGTCTAGGGGCGGACCTTCGATTTCCCATCTGTTCTTTGCAGATGATTCGCTGTTATTTTTCCAACTTTCGCCCCAAGCGTGTGACAATGTCATGGCCATTCTTTCGGATTTTTGCTCTGCTTCGGGTCAGATGATTAATCTTCAGAAGTCCTTTGTCAAGTTCAGCCCAAATACCCCTCAAGACTACCGTGATTTTTTAGCTCGCAGTCTTCGACTACAATCGAAGGCTTCTTTTGGTACTCATCTAGGTCTTCCTGTTGACCTTGGAAGGAGTAAAGTCGCGGAATTCAGGTTTCTAATTGACAAGGTTGCTAGCCGGTTGTCTGCTTTTGCTTCTCTTCGCTTGTTAGCAGCAGCGAAACTGGCTATCATAAATTCGGTTTTGATAGCATCGTTTAATCATATCTTGTCGGTTTTCAAGATTCCGTCTTCTGTAGCTTCTCAACTTGATAGCATGCTTGCCAACTTTTGGTGGAGATCGTCTGGTTCTCGGAAGGGTTTGGCGTTGCGCTCAGTGTCTCTTCTTCATTTACCAAAAGGTTTGGGGGGTTTGGGTGTGCGCAACATTGCTTGCTTTAATTCAGCTATCCTTGCTGGTACAGGGTGGAGGATGATTCGAAATCCTCAACTTTTGGTTTCTAGACTCATGTTTTTGAAGTACCCCTCTCTGCCAGTCAATCTGGGAGCTCGGATTTCTCGCCCCTCTTGGGGCTGTCGTGGGTTGCAGATGGCTCTTTCGGCTGTTTCTTCTGGTGTACGTTGGAAAGTGGGTAGAGGTGACAAGGTACACATAACAGCCGACAACTGGGCTCCTGGGGTCCAGTGTTATTCAAGGATGGTTTATCTCAGTCGGATCTTCCGACTCATGTGTCTGGTATAATTGATCCGCGTTCTAACGCGTGGGACTCCTCGAGAGTCCATCGGTTTTTTGATAGTCCAACTGCCGTCAGGATCCTTAGTTTGGATCGTCCGCAGGAGCTTATGGATGATTTTGTATATTGGAAATTTACCAAGGATGGCTCCTTTTCTACGAAGTCTGCCTATGCTCTCTTACTTCATCAGACTATCAGGTGTCCTCCTTTGGGGTCCTTGCCTATTCCCTGGTGGAAGAAATTTTGGGCGCTCCCCCTTCTTCCTAAATGGAAGATCTTTGGCTGGAAAATAATTCATGCTGGTATTCCGGTTGCCTCAGCTCTAGCTGTTCGCGGCGTTTCCGTGGATTCGACTTGCTGCTTTTGTCGAAGGGAGCAGGAGACGATCAACCATTTGTTTCGAGACTGTGATTTCGTTACTCCTTTATGGGTTCGCAGCTCGTTTCATTTCAATAGTCAGGGTCTTCTTCATCTTCCCTTTCTCCAATGGTTTTCTGTTATGGTCTCGTTGTTAGCGGCTGCTAAGGATTGGGAGAACTTGGTGCAATTTTTCTCCCTTCTTTGGTCTATATGGTTGTCCCGTAATAATGTACGTTTTCGGCAACAAGCTGTCTCTCCGGATGATGTTTTGCTTCTTGCTTCTCAGTGGAATGTGCGAGGGAGGCAGGCTCAGGATTCTCACCTTCCTTCTTCTACTTTGGGTCCTAGCCCTAGGCCTGTTGGTTCGGGATTTGCTGCCACTCTTGCTGGGGACCCTACGTCGGGGTTTAATATTTGTTTGATTTGCGACGGGTCTTGGTCATCCTCGGATAATTCGGCAGGTGCTGGTTGGGTTCTTCGTGATTGTGGTTCTCCTTCAGTCCGAGGAGGAGGGGCTCGTGCTTCTCTCTCTTCTTCAGCCTTACAGTCTGAGTTACAAGCTTGTTTTTGGGGGTTACGCAATGCTTTTTCTCGTGGTTTTCGTAGGATTCTTATTTACTCGGACTGTGAGCCTCTGTGTCGGATGTTAGGCCAACAACAGAAAGATGAGGTTTCTTTATACTGGTTACTTCGGGATACTCGGGTTCTTTTGTCTACCTGTGCGGCTTGTAAAATTCTTAAGGTTCCTAGGGAATGGGTGTCTCCTGTACACTGGTTGGCTGGAAAGGCTCGTGCTCGGGAGTGTTTTTTTTGGTATTTTTAGTCTGTTGCTTATGTTTTCTTTTCTTTGTTCTCACTGTCAAAAAAAAAAAAAAAACATGTAAGGTGTGTCAAAAAAAAAAAAAAATGTAAGGTCCCTTTTTCAATTCGATCACGGTGATATTTCATGGGTTAGATTGCAATTTTTTTTTTCCCTTCACATAGACTCATTCAATTTGACCTAAATTGCATTACAGCCATCAAAGGTCCAACACTTTTGAGTTATTTTGTCAACATCATCCATATTTCTTAAGTTCAATAAGAATATATTGTATATGTATGATTAGTAGTTTAAGTTGTGATATTATAATACACCCATGCTTTCTAGCCATTTTTCCAACGAATGAGGTTCAATTTCCTAAATTTATTAAGTGTCGTTTCTGTGGTAGACCAATCAATCACAAAATTCTACGAAGTATATATGATTAGATAACGTATATTATTACTATATTTGACTTTGATGATCATTCAATCTTTTTTTTTTTTTAATTTGACATACGTATGTGTACCCCCATCAACAAACAATACACTTTGAATTGAAAAAAAAAAAATTAAAAATAAATCCAAGACCGATCAAAGCAACAAAATGAACATTGTTGATATAGAGTATAAAACATATTCTTTAATCTCAACCATCTGTTTAAGCTTTTGATTGAGTTGATTATCTAACAATAATTATGATATTATGAATAATAATATTATGAATAATAATACTGATTAAAAAGAACATTTATGAGAAACATCACAGTGCAAGCTAGAAACAAATAGTGGTATATTATACAAGAAACTCTTCTAGATACTTAGTAGAGTTGCTTGTATGTATTCATGAATTTCGATGATTATAAGGAGTCTCAATTTGCATAATCTATTAGTAGATCCGGTAGAGGTTTTTTACAAACACCAATAACAATATTGGAAGCTGAGCAGACTAGTCCTTCACAACAAGCATATACACCTTTAGAAACACATATATTGCCTTCACCTTGACATTTTTCTTCTTCGGATGTTTCAATTGCATCGATGAATGCTGGAACTGAAATAATTTTAACCATGAATATTAGTCACCCGTTTTTCAAAAATTATTTAACTTATAGAGTAATCGAACATGCATATATGAATTGAAAACGACATTTGACTAGAATTATAGAAAAAAAAAAAAAAAAATTAACCCGTGCACATAAAATTTTTATATACATCCAGGTTTACCGTACATCCAACTAACCCAAGATTAGTTTTTGTTCTTCATTTGATGAATCAACGAAATATAATCATCAAAATAAGTACAAAATACTTATGGGTGTACGGTACACTAGGTGTATATAACAATATCTCCAAAGCACATAATACGTGTAATAATAATGAGTATTGTAGGAGAAAAAGAGGTCGGAGCCAAACCTGATACACTTAGTATAAGAATAGCTAAGAACATCATTGACATAACAGTGTAGTTGATACGAATACTCGCCATTTTAATGAAGGAAATATAAGAAGATTGTTGCATTTCTAAGCTAAGCTTATACGATCTATTATTGTTTTAGGCGAGTGATTGAACATTCCTCAGCTTTCCTTAGCATTTATATTGCTTACCTTATGGAATGAAAACTAATTTTATTGTATGTTGATCGACAAGCCAAAAAAAACTTAAGGAAATTAAATACATTATCAAATAATTAACAAGATATAATATAGATGCATCATTATTTTCGTTGTTATTACGTGCATGCAACCATGTCTTTGCTTTGCTGGACTCATCACTACTGCTAGTATATGATATCAGTAAACTAACATTAGCTATATCATGATTAATCATGTAGCAAGTTGAATTGAATACAATTAATCATTTTAGAATAATATTGAACTTGGTTGTATTAATTAATTTGACTAGCTGGTTATAAATAGTTTAGCTTATTGTGTAAAAGTGTTTAGTAATTAAGTGCTACGTACTTAGTTGTTTTAGTGTATTTAATAGACAAAAGATGATTTTTTTTAATAAGCTAATATCAAAAAGTTTTGTATTGATTGTTTTCTAAAAGTGTGTGCTTTTTGAGTCCAAAAATCTCTTTCAATAAACTATTTACCAAACACCCAAATTTGATACTACCTCCGATTTTTATTAAATTAGTTGCAATTTTGGGGTATTATTTGTGAGATATAAAATATTGCAAAGTTGCAACTAAAAATATTCGAAGGTGGTATTTAAATCAGTCAAACATATAATAGGGATCAATAACTCCAAAATGCACTTTACCAAACAAGACATAAGTGTATTTGATAGCCAAAAAGTAAAAAAGCTAATTATTCAATAAGTTGATTTCAAAAAGTTCTTATAATGATTTTTTCAAAAAGAGTTTTAAGTCTTTCAGTAAGCTAACCTCTAACTAGGCTCTATTAGCTAAAAGCTTTCCAGCTTCTATACCAAACAAGACTAATATCATTTTTTAATTTTAATTTTGTATCCTATGGACAATAATCACATACATATTTATACATACTACAGAGTATATATACACCTTAATAGTATATATACACCTTAATACTCTGTACAAAAGATGATTATAATATTTAATGCTAGATTATTCTAAAGAGATATAAAGTAATTTATATATATACACCCGAGTGCAAGGTAAACCCAATGGTATTTTCTGCTCATGATATTTTTGCTCGGATCATTTTAGAATCTTAAAATGAGCATACAAATATATACTCGTATCAAATGAGGAAAAAATTACCCTTATATTGGATGCATGTAACTCTGTACAATTTGAGTGTATATAACAGGTTTTGCGAAAGTTAATACTGTAATTTACATTAGATTTATTAGTATCATAGATATATTATATCAATAGATTTTTGTAGACTATAATTATATTAGATATTTCCTTGCATTTTTTTTTTAATTCTTTCTAACAAAGGTATGTACTATATTTAGGAGGGTCGGTATGTGTACCTCAACAAAAACATAATAATCCAAAGACGTGGCTGCAACCATCTAAAAATCTATTTAGTTTATCTGATAAAAATAGCCATAACAAGCTGTATATATAAATTTTATCGTAGTGAACTAGTCGTGCGCAACAACTCAATAATTAAGTAAGTAATCATAGAAATTGCTAGCTCACGACTCGTAATTACTTTTACCTAGTAAGTAGACTTTTTAAGCGCATTTGGAAGCACTATATAAGTATTGCAATATAATGGTGGACATTGCTAACATAATCAAACTTCAATTTAATTTTAAAACATTTAATTAACACAATGGAGAGGATTTTTATCAACTTATTTGTGTTGTCAATTTTGCTAGCTCTTTTGGCATTGGCTGAATCAGGTTTAGTTTTTGTATTTCTTTCTTAATATTGTTTGTGTGTGTTTTTTTTTTTTTGGTTACCTTTTGCCCTAACGTCCTCTGTCCTATAATATTTTTTCCATTTTTGAATTTGAGTTTCTTAAAATAGTGTTTTTCTTGTCCTTTTAGGGTTTTCTAATTTAATCATTTTGTCCTCGTTTTTATAGATATTTGAGCCCTCATTAAATATAAAATGCATGGAGATGTATACTTTTATGGAAAAGTACACATACAAAGATATTATAATAATTGAGATATTATCGTATACATCAGGTGCACCATTCATCCATGAGTAGTTCGTTCTCATTTAATTTTGGATTAGTTGAGTGTACGGTGCACTCAGACGTATATAATATTGATTTATAATAATTCCAAATCATATATTATCCAAAAAATTCTAATCCTTGTGAAAATTTCGCCATGGTGTCATTTTGAGTATCCCTTTTATATATGCCTCATAGTATTCTTAAAAGACCAACTCGTTAGTTAATTACTCATAACTTCATAATGAATTTTCACCACTATTTTGATCATATTTTTTTGAAAATATATGAAAACAAATGTCCATATCTAAGGCACTATTGGATTTATTATAATGTATATATTCAATTTATATTTTTACTATTAAAAGATATTGATAGCCAAAATTGTACATTGTCAAGAGTATTCAGTTAAAGTAATGCAAGAAATTTGATACAAGAGGAGTATGAGATGAAGTGAAATAGTGAAGTGCTTAAACTTCATATAAGATGATAAAACTATATTTAGCTTAATTCTCTTTAACATTCACTAATTGTTACTTACAAATTTGTGGTGTTATGTTCATATTTTTCTTCCAGCCATGGAAAAGAGTTATGGACCCTATGATCAACAACCATCATATGTACCGGACACCTCGAGCACACCACCACCACCATCGCCGCCATCATCACCACCACCACCACCACAACCACAACCTAACCCTACGTGTAGGAAACTAAAACAACTTTGTGGAGGTTATGGCGATTACGCTTGTTGTGAAGGATTATATTGTCTTGGTTGGACACCAGAGCAACCAGGTGGTCTCGGACTATGTACACCTTTAGATAATCAACAACCTCCGTCGAAAGATAAGTGTAGACACCACCTTCAAGAGTGCCAACTCTATGGTCCGTACGTATGTTGTCAAGGATTGAACTGCGTTCATGCTCGAAACCTTCCTACCGAACCTCTTATTAAAACTCGAAAGAAGAAGCTTCCTCCTGGTACGGGTTTATGCACTTATGCTAATTATTAAGCTATAATATGTACTCACTAGTTCATACTAGCAATACTGATTGAGTTTAGTATATGTTCATCATGTGTTTTCATGTATTGTTCTATAGCATACATTATGTTTTTGATTCCGGGGATTATTGTACTTCATTTTGTTAATTTTTTAATTTCAACAGTTTGACTTTTGCACTATTCAATTAATTATGTTAATTGTAGTTGGTTTACGCATCCTCAAATCCTTTTAATGTATGGCCATGAGTAATTTTATAAAAGCCATTTTTATACTCTGCGATGATTACTAATATACACAAATAAATGTTTAAATTTTTATTTTTCTAACAAAACAAGGGGTAAAATGAAAAGGTTACAACTTTTTTTTTTTTTTATTGACAAAGAAAAGCCTTATACTCTATCACTCCCCCTCACATAAAGGCTCTTTAGGCATGAAATGTGGATGTAACAAAGGTCTACCCATAGCTGGTGCGAATTAATTCCACTTTAAAGGAAGGGCAGATGAGATTCGTACTCGTGACCTTTGTATTACGCTGGCTCTGATACCATGTTAGAGGACCAATTCAACCAAAAATTTAAGCTGATGGTTGAGGCTCAGAAATATATTTTATACTCTATCATTTGGGAAAAAACAATAAGATCTAGATCGACTAAGACTTTTAATATTGGGTTAAAGACGATTTTGGTTCAATTGGTGAATTGGGCCGAGAATATATACCTGCACTGCACAGAAGAAAATTTTGGCTTGTAATGAGCAGCCCAAAAAATAAAAAATAAAAATAAAAATCAATTTGTACCCAAACACATGCATAGCAATAGCATATATATAAATTTCTTAATAAAACTCCGTAACATTTATTAAGTAAACTCAATCAATACAATCAAAATTAATACAAGAAATCAAACACTCAACAAAAAATACATATATGCAACTCAAATTAACACAATTGTAGCTCAAGAAAATGAGAGTCATCCACATGAATGGACTAATAAGTCATCATTTCGACGAAGAACTCTGCTTGTAAGTAGGCACACAAACACCACCATCACCAGCATAGCTACTCGCATCATAGACACAAGCGTACCTTTCGCAACACTGAAGTCCAGTGCTACCACCACAAGATTCATAATCACTTTGACATTTTCTTCCTGGCATACAAACACCGCCAACTTCTGGATAATCGTCATCAAGTACACATCTTAATCCTTGGCAACATTTCAATCTATTGATACCTCCGCAAAGTTGATATGTCCTTCGACATGGTTTTAGCGGCCTACAAACTCCGCCGGATCCAGGATAATCACCATCAAGCTCACATCGTAGTCCTTCACAAAATTGGTACGCTGAAGTGCCACCACAATATTGTTGAACGGTCTTACACGTTCGTCGCATACACGTTCCTGTTGCGCCTGGATAGTCACCGTTGAAAATGCATTGTAGTCCTTCACAGCATTGATATGCGGACATTCCTCCGCAAGATTGTTGAACAGTCTGGCATGCTCTTTGCCCTACCATCAGCGTTCGGGTGGTGCACTGGAACCATCAGCACCCCTAGTCTCGATGTTGCAACATGGCTCAGGTTGTTTTCCCTGTTTGTTACCTTGCAAGAAGCGCAAGGGCAGTTTAGATTTGGTTTCTACAACTTCTTCTTCAGCGGGCTCGGTGACCTCCCGTAATGGGTCACCCAAATTGAGATGAAAGTTGCTGCCTGGAACTGTAGGGGTCTTGGACAAGCGGACTCCCCTAAATTTCCGTATCTAAGCTCTTTAGTCCGCTCCCATCACTTGGATGTGGTGTTTTTGATGGAAACAATGGTTTCTGTGGATAATGTTGTGCTCAGTTTAGCATCTATTCCTTTTTTGGGTTGTTGTGGTGTAGATGCTGTAGGATTAAGTGGTGGTTTGTTCATTTTTTGGCTTGCTCCTTTTAGTGTAGTTCCAGTGTTTATATCTCCAAACTTTGTAGTTTGTAAAATAGAGGTTGGTGATGTGATAAAATTTGTGATCTTTGTGTACGGGGCACCTCATGTAGCAGATAGATCAGATGTGTGGTCGTCTATTGCTAGATTTGTCCAAACTTACCCGAACATTTTGTTGATTGGTGATTTTAACCAAGTCGGGTATCTATCGGATAAAATAGGAGGGTCTTCACTTATTCCAGGACGTTTGGATTTTATTCAATGGCGGTTGAATTTAGGGTTAGTGAATGTTCCTTTTTCTGGACCTTCTTATACTTGGACAAACAATAGAATAGAGGTGGACCCGACTTTTGAAAGATTAGATAAGGCATATGCAACTCAGGATTGGTTTATTGATTATCCGGACTCCATTGTTCATCATCAACCGATTCTATTTTCGGATCACACAGCTATTATCTTTTCAGACTCGTTACCTCAAGATTCTGTTCGGCGACCTTATAGAATCGAAAACTGGTGCTTATCTGCTCAGGATACTTCTAGGATTATTAAGGACGGCTGTCGTTTAGAATTTACAGGCTCTCCGTGTTTTACCTTATCTCGCAGGCTTGTTGTTATTCGCAGGCGACTTAAAGACTGGTGCCTTAGCCACAGGAAATCTTGGGGTATAAACTGGAAAGCTTTATGTTCTGATTTGTCTACTTCTTCTACTCAATTACAATCCCCAGTGGCGCGAGTTCTTTTTCTAAATACTAGGGAAGAGAAGATAGCCGAAGCAACTGATGCTTTTCTCTATTGGAAACAACGTGCTAAAACTAAATAGGATGCTGGAGGGGAGTCACACTCCAAATTACTGTTTTCGGTGGTCCAAGCTCGTCGTCGTCGTAATCTGATTGTCAGTTTGAAGAATGATGCTGGTATTTGGGTTTCGGATTCTCTTGGGCTTCGCTCTCTTATTCAGGCCTTTTACTCTGATCTATATTCTCATGTATCTCCATTTGGGAGTGACCCTCCTTTTTCTTGGGATCACCTTGGCCTCCCGACGCTATCCTCGTCTCAAAAGGACATGTTAATGGCCCCGTTCTCGCCTTCTGAGATTAAAGCTGCAATGTTTCATATTTCTAACGACAAATCTCCTGGGCCTGATGGCTTTACTTCGGCTTTTTTCAATACTCATTGGGATCATACTGGGCATTTGGTTATCTCGGCAGTTCAATACTTTTTTGCTCATGGTTATATGCTGAAGGACTGGAATAGAACCTTCTTAGTCCTTCTGCCGAAGATTTCTCAGCCGGAGTTAGTGTCTCAGTTTCGGCTGATTGGTTTATGTAATGTCATGTAAAAATGTATAGCAAAATGCATTACTGGCCGTCTGCGAGGGGTTCTTCCATCTCTTATTTCAGGGTTCCAGAATGCCTTTGTGCCGGGTCGCCTAATTTCTGATAATGCTTTGGTAGCTCACGAGCTTCTATCCTTTATGAATGCTTCTAAAGCTCGGAAACGTTTTTATGCGGCTCTAAAGTTTGATATGAATAAAGCTTATGATAGAGTGCGCTGGGATTTTTTAAGTCAGGTTTTACGGGCCTTTGGTTTTCCGCCTTATTCGGTTCATATTATTGAGCAGTGTGTTACAACTGTCTCGTACCAGGTTCTTGTGAATGGGAGTCTTACACCGTCCTTTCGACCACAATGTGGTCTTAGACAAGGTGATCCTCTGTCACCATATCTATTTGTTTTGTGTATGGAGGTGTTGTCGACCTCTCTTAGGCGGGCGGAAGAACAGGCTTTGTTTTCTGGTATTCGTGTGTCTAGGGGCGGACCTTCGATTTCCCATCTGTTCTTTGCAGATGATTCGCTGTTATTTTTCCAACTTTCGCCCCAAGCGTGTGACAATGTCATGGCCATTATTTCGGATTTTTGCTCTGCTTCGGGTCAGATGATTAATCTTCAGAAGTCCTTTGTCAAGTTCAGCCCAAATACCCCTCAAGACTACCGTGATTTTTTAGCTCGCAGTCTTCGACTACAATCGAAGGCTTCTTTTGGTACTCATCTAGGTCTTCCTGTTGACCTTGGAAGGATTAAAGTCGCGGAATTCAGGTTTCTAATTGACAAGGTTGCTAGCCGGTTGTCTGCTTTTGCTTCTCTTCGCTTGTTAGCAGCAGCGAAAACTGGCTATCATAAATTCGGTTTTTGATAGCATCGTTTAATCATATCTTGTCGGTTTTCAAGATTCCGTCTTCTGTAGCTTCTCAACTTGATAGCATGCTTGCCAACTTTTGGTGGAGATCGTCTGGTTCTCGGAAGGGTTTGGCGTTGCGCTCAGTGTCTCTTCTTCATTTACCAAAAGGTTTGGGGGGTTTGGGTGTGCGCAACATTGCTTGCTTTAATTCAGCTATCCTTGCTGGTACAGGGTGGAGGATGATTCGAAATCCTCAACTTTTGGTTTCTAGACTCATGTTTTTGAAGTACCCCTCTCTGCCAGTCAATCTGGGAGCTCGGATTTCTCGCCCCTCTTGGGGCTGTCGTGGGTTGCAGATGGCTCTTTCGGCTGTTTTCTTCTGGTGTACGTTGGAAAGTGGGTAGAGGTGACAAGGTACACATAACAGCCGACAACTGGGCTCCTGGGGTCCAGTGTTATTCAAGGATGGTTTATCTCAGTCGGATCTTCCGACTCATGTGTCAGGTATAATTGATCCGCGTTCTAACGCGTGGGACTCCTCGAGAGTCCATCGGTTTTTTGATAGTCCAACTGCCGTCAGGATCCTTAGTTTGGATCGTCCGCAGGAGCTTATGGATGATTTTGTATATTGGAAATTTACCAAGGATGGCTCCTTTTCTACGAAGTCTGCCTATGCTCTCTTACTTCATCAGACTATCAGGTGTCCTCCTTTTGGGGTCCTTGCCTATTCCCTGGTGGAAGAAATTTTGGGCGCTCCCCCTTCTTCCTAAATGGAAGATCTTTGGCTGGAAAATAATTCATGCTGGTATTTCGGTTGCCTCAGCTCTAGCTGTTCGCGGCGTTTCCGTGGATTCGACTTGCTGCTTTTGTCGAAGGGAGCAGGAGACGATCAACCATTTGTTTCGAGACTGTGATTTCGTTACTCCTTTATGGGTTCGCAGCTCGTTTTCATTTCAATAGTCAGGGTCTTCTTCATCTTCCCTTTCTCCAATGGTTTTCTGTTATGGTTCTCGTTGTTAGCGGCTGCTAAGGATTGGGAGAACTTGGTTGCAATTTTTCT